ACATTTAAAAACAAAAGATTCAGATTCATGAGTAATTTTTATTCTTATTATGTTTCTCATTATAAATAAAATACAGCATCTATAAAAATTCCATTACAAAATATGTTCATAAAGTGTAGGTTTATTAATAAGCACTTACTGAGCATCTGCTATGTGGCAAGTTGTTCTGAATCTGGGAGGGATGTACATATCGTAAGCTAATTTTTACTTTATGGTAATAAGTTATTATGGTCTTATATTTAGTTCTACATTATAGAATAAACTTATTCAGTAAAATTCTATAATGAAGTAGCAATCTTGATTCCTTTATAAGAACTTCACGTTATTCAATTAATCTCCCTATGAAATTTAAAAGATCAGTGTATGGCATTTAATAAGTTGAAAGAAAAGAAAAAGAAAATAGAATAGCCTTGAAAGTATTTTTATGAGAAATGAGAAAAATGAACTCATTTAGACCACATGAAGAAAAGCAAGTCTAAGCTAAATAAGATCACTAGGGCTGAGGAGCCTAACGCCAAGTTGGACCCTGGCCCATGCAGCTTTCTTCAGGCCTCAGTCATTGCCAAGCCCCAGCAAATACTAGTCAGATCAAGGGCAGTCAGTGTAGCCCAGGAAACTCCTCCTGAATCCCTGAAGTGAGTTCTGCCATGACCACTGCATAAGAGATGTTGAAAACTCTCTACGGTATCCCTCGATCTTTGAACAAGTTGGAAATATGAAGGTATGTCTAATGGAGACATAGGGCAGAGGAACATTCTCCATTTCCATAGCAGTAAGACCTAATTTTACCTCTAGACCATCAGAGAGTCTGGCTAAGTATAAGCAAATTGGGACTTGAGGGAGAAGGGGAGGGAGAGGGCAGCATAGATCAAGACCAGTGCTAGTCTCTAGGCAATTTCCTTAGCCAAAATTCTTAGCTCCTGACCCAGGGCTGGGACAAAGTAAGGCGAGTGAGGTGCCTAGGACACAAAACTGAAGGAGGCAGACCATGACCTGACAGTGAGATCCTCCTTACATTCTGCACCCCAGGTATCTCACTCACTTCACCCTAGTCTAGGCCGTTTGACCTGTAGCTTTTTCAAGGGTTTTATGTCAAGAAATATCAAGGCATTGTGGATGACAAAAAAATGAATCTATGTTTTAGAAAAAGGATGATATAAAAGGTGGAGAACATAAACAAAATGTTCAAAAGAGAGGCCACCTCCCAATTAGAGAAATACTGTGCACCAAAAACATGTAAAGTGATCCATCGTCCAGACTAATTCTGCAATAGCTAATTTGGTACTGGAACACAATTTATTCTTTCAAAAACTTGAATTACCATGAATGAAATCCAGCCCTAAAATGTATCTATATGTACTAAAAGTCTAATAAAGTAGTTATTCTTAAAAGTATGTGGTAACCCTATTCCTACTCCTACCTAACATGTACAAAGAGGCTTCAATATAATAATGAACTCTATTTCCTGTGAATGTCTTCAAAGCTACTACAATATAACTGAATGATTCTAATTATAAGAGATTTTGTAGTTGCTTATTTCTAGTCAAATGACAATAGCTCCTCAAGATTGAGCTAAACAGATACTTCTGTGTTGAAATCAGAATATAAAATCTTACAAAACGAAACCTTTCAAAAGAAATAATGATTCCTGGGGCTCGTTCGTATTTGAAGTCCCAGAGAAGACACTTGGACTGTTAGGTTCTTGGCTTAATTATAACAAAGGTCATCATTTTTAAAAATGAGTGGATTAATGTTAGAAGCACTACTTATTGCACACTTTTCTATTCATAGAGAACTTAACCTTTTCAATTAAATACCTTTGATTTCCAAATTCATTTGCAAGTAAAAATAAAGTTATTTAGTCTTGGTGACTTTCTAAGACTTGTGAACTCAGAAATTTTATATCTGTAAGTTCTTAAAGTCTAACATGATCCACTTATTATCCACTTATTTCTATTTATTATTCTTTCTGTATACCCCCATGGTAGAGCTTCCATGTTAATTAATTAATTAATTAATTAAATAGGATATGGTATATATCCTGCCTTTTAGAATTGAATTTACCACACTTAAAAAAAGATTATTTGTTTCATGGTACTTGAGTTTGATTCATTATAATAAATATCTTCTTAGAGATAGGTTTAATACAAAGGCAAAGCTGAAAGAATCATCATTATAAATATGTGAGAATTCTTATCAAATATCTTGTCATTGTAATAATTTGTAGTCCGTGGAAAACATGAAGACTCCCTGACCTAACCCTCTACTAATTCCTTCTACGAAAATATATATAACAGGAATTTTTTTTAACTATCCAGCTTTTGCTTTAAAGTGTTTATATGTTTTTAAGCACTGATCATGTATGATGATCATATAATCCTTTAAGTAAATCAGTAATGATTTCCACACTACAGATGACAAAATTTAGGTTCAGAGAATATGTGACTAGACCAAGGTCAGAGCATTTAGAAATGCATAACAGGGGTTAGAATCCAGATCTTATTATTCCCCATCCAGAGTATTTTCCACTATACTGTTACAACTGGCTGCATGTAATTATGAGCACCGAACATTTTCAATACTAATAGAAAAAGATCATGGTCTCTAAAAGTTTCATATTTTATGGTTGTTGATCATTTATACCCTTGATATCAACTTCCTTTAAAAGTAGAGCACCTTGAAATTCCTTCCTCTTTCCTATAAGTGAAATGCAACTGCGTCTATTGGCAAGGTACACTCTTAAATATTAGCCACAAACAAATACGCAAGGAACCCACAAAAAAAAATACAAGTGCGTCACTGCTGTCATCAAACCCACCCTCTCTGTCTTTTGCCAAGGAGAGAGGAAAAGGGACATCCAAAGACTTTGAAAAAACAACCTGATTTACAGGGCAATATAAATAAATGTATTTCTAAGAGAGTTGAATTTAAATGTAAAGGCAGAAAGAAAAGTAGATAGAGGACTACTTCAAAATAAGTGAATAATAACACAAGTCCCCTTGGACTGCTCTGTGGAATTTTAATTCGCTATTGTGAAGTTCAGGAACTATTTTTTGTGCCTGGCATTCCTCCAAAACTCTGGCCAATAATGATGGAGTGTGAGTAACGGCTTTTACACCATAAAATGATGGCTTATTCCTCCTACAAATTTGTCATTCTTAGCTGTGCACTGTGGCAGACCCTTGAAACAGATCTGTCACCATGAGCTAAAAGAACTGCTTTCATAGTGGTCTGTCCACATAATTAGAACATTTTGTTGTGGTTGTGGTTGTGGTTGTGTTACATGGAGCACTTCTTGTGATCTTGGAGAACTGGCTTCTAATCTCAGTCATGTCTATGCCATTTTAAGTGGTCAGTTTCTCTGTTTCTGGTATCTGATAGAGACAAATTTATCCTTATGCACCTACTTCAGTGAGAAGAAAAAGATATTCTGAGTGACTCAACTTTGAAGTATTAGAAGGCACATATAACCATAGCAATATTATTTTCACTACTGTTTTATTGTCTCTGAGCCGATATAAGAGTACCCTTGAGGTATGACTAACACTAAACTAAAACCAAATATCCACTCTCATAGTTTATATCTAGTTACTATATCTTCGATGATGGTTTAGAATGTTCTCCTTTCTGGTTCTTTTCCTATAACTAAACTGAATCCAAGAAAATGGTTTTTCCTGCTTATTTTTTAATTGAAAATGGCAGTTTCTTATACTCCTGTTAGAATTTTCTCCATGTGAAAGGCTGAAGTCATTAACATGCCACTGATGCTACTGTATGTATTCTCTCCTTTCTCCTGGGATCTTTAGACTCTCTCTCTCTCTCTCCTCCCTCTCCCTCCCACCCTTGTGTCTCTGTGTCTCCATCTCTCTTCCTTCCCTTTTACTCCTATCCCTTTCCCATGCTTATCCCTGGAGGCCACAAGAATATGTGGTATTGCTTAGCCCTGTAGGTGTCAGTGCTAAAACCCCTCTGAATTCTGACTTGAGCAACCTAAGCAGTAGAAGTTGTGGAAGCATCTGGAAGATTTTTAGTCAACACAGTGAACATACAAAATATAAGCAGAACACTCAAAACTCCTAGAGCGTATTTTTATATCAACAGAGGTTTTGGTTTTTTTCCTACTTCACATTCTACAGCTTTTACTACTAAAGAAGCAGTATATATAAAGCCACTGTGATTACTTAAACTTTATATTCACCAAAGATGATATTCATTGGCAAAGTTCCCATGGAGTACTTTCAGATTTCCCTGGTAACAAATGTCTTCATAAAGTCATAGGAAGGCACGGAGGTTCTCACAGGAATTTCATAATTCATTGATGAGGGCAGGAGAAGGGGGATTGATGTTCCTTTCTGGACTTGCCCCTTTGGTTATAGATACACTTGGAGGGACAGATTATCAACTGCTATTTTCCTCAGTGTATTAATTTGCAAAGAAAAATAATAAATTTGGCCTTCTAAAAGAGCAGCTAAGAGGAAAAATGAAAAGCTAAAGCAGTGTCTGCATGATGACTTGCAAATATCAAATTTATATAGATATTTTCTAAATTTTTTAAAACAATATTTTGAAAGAGAAAACTTTCCAGCGAGCCCTATTTGCAGAATAGGGGCTTAACACACTATATAATGTGATGTGGCTCACACATGTTTAAGCCACTCCATGTTTTCAACCCAAACTATCAGCAGTAGTGTCTAAGCACAGAAAGAGTTATGATGGCTTTTAAAAATGTTTCTTTTCCAAGCAGTAGTACACTTACATTTTACATGTTCACAGGAGTTGCCACCATTTTTTACATTAGATAAAAATTACTGTAATTTTATTTGGAGAAGATAAAAATGAGCATTTGCTGAAACAATAGATTCTATAGTAAAGCAAATATTAATAAATTAGCACTTCAGAACTATGTTCAAAACTGTATTTGCTTTGTAAGGAAAGCCTTTGCTTCACAGCTAAACCACACCCCATGCGACTTTAACAGAAACAATGAATATGGGTATTACCTTCACAGAAAGAAGTCTGATGCCAGGTCTTGAAAATTTCCATGGTTGGTGTGCAGTCACGTTGGTAAAGCCAAAACCAGTCTTCAGTGTCCTCACCACTTTGCAAGCTGTCAAAATCCTCGTCATTTTGAAGATGATTTGTCACTAAGATTAAATAAAATTATATATTTTTTATGAGAGTTTTGTTATAAGATTCTTAATTAATAGAAAAGAAAGCTGAGGGGTGCAGTCAGTGTTTAAGGCTGACTGCACAGCGGTCTTTGAATTTCCATTCATTCTGCCATTAAATGTCTTCAGCCACAGCTCCTCCTTCCCTGAACCCCTCCTCTTGAGGTAATGTCCAGGCCTGTTCCATGGACTCGTAATACAAATTGCAACACATCAAATACTACCTTCTCCTGCTGAAATAATGCTGGTGTTGTAGAAAACCTGTCATCTATCAAAGGAATTGCTTATGCAGCTCAATAGAATGACCTAGACATAATGGACAACCTTAGGAATATCACTTACCTAAAAGAGTAGCAACTTTCTAATAATGCCAAAGATCAAAGGCTTTTACTTGAATTACATGTTTTGCCTAATTCGGCTCAAAAAAGGTTTTTGGATTCCCAAAGAAACCTGAACCCTCCCTTGCCATTTTCTGCTTGGAAGAAGACAATGGAAATCACATATAGTCAAAAGGACATCAGAACAAACTTTCCTCTACAAATAGGCAGTAAACCTATCTACATTATTTTGGGGGTTAATAGAGTAGCATGTGACAGTCTAATCACTGCATTGTTCTGGGTTCCAAATTTTAAAGCAATCAATAATATCAAGTAAAACACAACTGGAGTAAAGCGGTCTATTATATCCCTCTTATGTCTCTTAAATTTGCAAAAAGTACATGAAACAAAGGCAAACACTCATTTTAATATAAGAATTATTCCTAAGTCAAGATTTTTTTTAGTCATTAAAATATTACATATAAAATTTTTAAAACTTGAGCATTCATGTTTTAGCCTGAGAAAAATTAATTCACTTAACCCTTCAATCACATGTTTAATCAGACACAGGGTTGCATCAGCTGGTGGAAGCTCTCTCTTAAATCATGTGTCCATGTAGAACAGGCAGCACTGCAGCGTTATCTTTTGATACCCTTACAAAGGTGGCCCAGGAATAAAGGCAGTACAGACTCATTCCTGAGGCTTCCCATAACAGAAAAGATGACACAGAATGACAGATGGTAAACATCACTGATTTACAACCAGTGCTGCAATGAAGGTGGGGATGGGTGTTTTGTTTTGTTTTGTTTTGTTTTTTAAGAGGAACGAAGTTTAAGCTAAATCTTCTGTCTTACTTAATATATCTGTGTATAAACATTCTCTGAGGGCAACTACTTCATGGTTCCTGGTAATAGAAAGCTAAACAAAATAGTCTCATATTAGTGTATATAAGTAATTAATAAAATAACTGATGCCGTGAAAGTATGCCCAAATGCAATGGGAAACTAAACGAATGGGGGGAAAAATAAAGGACGATCAATTTCCTTATGCATGTGCAGTGAAGTTTAAGTACGGGATATGTTGAACCATATTATACTGAAGGATGCAAGTATGTCAATCGGATGGAGGGGCAAAGAACCAGAAGGGATGGCATGAGCAACACCATAGAGGCATGAAATCATAGGGCATATTAAAAAAATGAACAGCCTAGATATGAGCAGGCACCATAACATGGCAGAATTTGTGTGCCTTAAAATGGTTGCCCTTATCCATAAATAGTGTTCATGACACATGAAGTATTTTGAACAAGAAATAAAGGTGAAATTTGTGTAAAAGAAAGATAACAGAAAATGAATTGAGGGAGGATAAAGCTGGCAAAAGGAAAACTCCCAACTTAGAGAACTGAGGACTTAGAATCACCGCTTACTGTGTTTTCTTTCCTTAATTAAAAAAAATGACGTATACTCACTATGGAAAAATTTTAAGATGCAAAACAAATTTAAATCAGTCATCATCCCATTACCCAGAGGTGCCATGCAATGAACATTGTAGTATATTCCATTCTTTGTGTTTTAATTAAATATGACAGTGGGAGTACTGAGCAGTCCAGAGCTTGACAAAGGAAAGACTTCGTCACCATTTATAACAGTTGACCGAAAAGCATGACGAAGAGTACATGGTTTTCCGGAGAGACGTCAGCAACCTCAGAATTCTGTGACTCTAAAGTCTAGAGAGAAACGTGGACATCAGAGTTTTAATGGGCTTTCATCTTTACCAGTAAAGGGTCCTGACTGTAGGATAGGGTCCATGTTGCTAATCACTAGAATAAAGGGGGAGGGGGCAGACGATTTGGAAAATTTGGTTAATTATTCTGAATTAGAGACTTGGAAAATCCATCTGTTGTGATTGTACAATCATCTTAGAGATTGGAAAGCCCAATAAATAGAAGAGTGAGTAGTGTCAGATTTAAGTTTCAAGATAGACTGAAATCTATGACTGAACTGGAAAAAAAATACTGTATTAATGAGAGCCTTTACATTAGGATAGATCAAAGGAGTGGGGCTGTAAGAGTTGGTCCGTAAGGAACGTTAAAGTCAGACGTAAAAAAACTTTAGTGGAAATACTACGCTTTTATGAAAGACATTTTTTTTCCCAAAGCATTTTAAAAGAAAGTGTTTTTCAGTTTGAAATGATTTTTCCCCTCACAGAAGCTCTCTGCACTCGAGTGAGCAGAGTGTCGGGCACATGTGCATGCACACACAGGGGCTGGGGACTTCTGTGCACTTGAAAATACATTCTCTGTGAGCCAGGTCATTAAGGGTCCTCTAAATTTGTGTCGCTCACTCAGAAAAGCGAAATATTTGATATAGATTTAGACCTCCTTTCTAGTGATACATTTACCATAGTTAACACTGTTTACAACACTGGGCTATTTTCCTCTGTACAATCCCATGTAGAAAATTAAAAACTCAACACTTCTCAATTTTGATGGAGTAAGAAACATTCTAATACCTTTACATTTAATGCTGAGAAAGTGTTTTATTTCTTCCATAAACTGGAAATGCTTTGAATATGTATTAATACATACGTGTGCATGTATATGTAGAGTCTATGTGTGTGGGTGTGGTGTGTGTGTATGAATGATAGGCATACTTTGGAATAACTATAGAGACAGAGACAGAGAAAAGTATTCTTAACTAATATATTCATCATTTTTCAAAAGAAATAGAAGCATTTAGCCTTTAAAATCCCTCAGAGTACCTAATTTTATGAGTTTGTCATTGACATATCTGATATTGAAAATGATAACATATCAAATATTAAGTTGTATTTATTTTCATTTGATATTTAAAGAAATTTATAAAATACAGAAAAATAGATAATAACCCACCCCACAAACATAACCTCTGTTAATACTTAAGTGTATTATTTTCTTCTAGCATTTATGTCTATGCATAGATCATAGTTATGAAAACTTTCATCAACTTGCATTGTGCTTTTGTGAGGTAATAACATATAAAAAGTATGTTTGATGTTATTATAAAGTTCCTTTTAAACCTTAATTGAAATTGCTGCTACAATGGATATCAATATTGCCATTTTCGATCAATATTGACAAATTTCTGTCCAAGAGAGCATACTCAATCTACATACCAATTACAATACATAATGTGCCTTTCAATACATCCTTACCAACAGTAGGTATTATCTTGTCTTTGCACTAGTGCGGAAAATGGTGTTTTGGTTTCATTTAAGTTTTAAATCACTGGTGAGGTTGAACACTTTCATATGTTTTAATTAGTACTATTCTTCTTTTGTCAACTGCTATCTACATCTTTTCTTCCCATTAATCCATTTGTATTAATAATCAAGCAAACATCCTTTAAAGGAAACACAAAGTGACAATGATTGACAGCCTGTATATGTACTGATTTCAAGTATCCTCTTTATTTGTACAGTCGACTGACACAAGCAAGGAGGGCCTGCTACCAATTGAAAAAAATGAGAACAGCACGTCCTGGAGAATAAAGGCCTCACGTTTTGGAATGAAGAAAAAATAATGGTGTTAGTGATTCCTTCTTCAAAGGTACAGAGATTTTCAACTGTCCTCTTGAAGTATGTCATCCTAGGCAATGAATCAGAAACAATTCTGAGAAAGTGATGTATCTATCAAAAAGTCTTTAATATAGCAAGCATGCAAGAGATGCTTCTGGAAGAATGATTGAACAAATGGATGCATATATGCTAGATTCCTGCCTGATCAGTAATGATTATTTAAGCAGGAACAAATAAAATTATGTCAGATAAACATAAAAGGAAATAAAGAAGTTTAAAAATCAAAAAAGAACTGTCAATAATTCTATAAAGTCTATTTTTGAAGAGATAAGTTAAAGCAAGAAGCAAGGTATGACTGGAGAGAAAATAAATTCAGAGTAAAAGAAGATGCAACAGCTCCCTGAAGAAATGTCTACTGTTTTGTGTTTGAGCAGGGATTCGTGAAAATAGAATACAATAGGCAGAAGTAATTAGGTTCTATTCTATGATTTTTATTAGCCTGGGTAACATAGCAAGGAACATTGTCACAAGTAAGGATATGGACAGAGAAGGCTATTCTTTGAGGGAAAATGGTGTGGGTTATACCCATATATTATAAAAGGCACATACTTTCTTCTATCATAGAAACTAGGACAAGCTGGTAGAAGGATTCCTCAAATAAAGTTTGACCAGGAAGAAGACTTAAAGTTGTTTCAAAACCTTTTCCAATATGTCAATGATTGATAATGACAATAGACAGATATCAGGTTGTTAGATGATAGTGTTTTTAAGTAATGAGATGTCTTTGGAAATCCAATCGAGTAAGACATGTTCATTAAGATCCAATTGGCATTTTGAGGGATAGAAAGTGACGAACCAATTATGATGAGTGTCCTTATCAATCTAACATTTGATAACATAAAGGTTGAAATGATATAAAAGAAAGTGAAAAATGAAGCTGGAAAGGAGACCTTGTAAAATTGGTTTCACACATTACAACTCAAGGCACATGTGATTTATGTCCTAGGATAGTAAAAAAAAAAATGCTATCATTTATAAGACCCCATTTGAAAACATCTTAAAGAAAAGAGATTAGTCAGTACTAGGAGCAAGTATTTATAAAGAGTGAATCTTACCATACTGCCTTTAAAATAGACATTACTAGCAGACCAAGTAGAAATGTTTGATGAAATCCACCCTAATTCAAGAGCATGGAGTATATATTCTAGACCAACATTAGGTGCATACCAATGTAAGACATCAGACTGAATTAGCCAGTGAATTAATCAAGCTTCTTGTGTAT